TTTTTTAGCTGCAATTTTGTCCCAATTGGCAGCTCGCAATCCTTTTTACACGTGTAGCACTACGGGGTTTTTAAATCTCTCAAACCAGCCTTTGCTGGCCTTAAATTACAAATTCGTACTCGTTGCAAAAAATTTCTTTACGAATCATCATGAATGCTTGCCTTTTCACAAATAAGGACTGCTAAGAAATCTCCCGCCAAAATTTTTTATTTGATCCACACCAACAATTCTCAACATCTTCGAGTTTGGCGATCTCATTTTGTAGGAATTTACCCTCTCTGCAAAACAGTTCCTTGATTTCCTTTTTTTTTGGCCATGATGGAAATTGGTTGTGTGGGGTTTCTTTTAAACCTGGTGTTCAGCCCCACTACCCCTTTTTTATTGTTCAAAGATGTTTTTCTTAAATTCAATCAATTTTTCCCCCTTTTTCCCCAAAGGGATGGCCCAGGAGCTCTTCTGAGCCATGGTAGCTTATTTTGAGTTGCAAGACAAAAAAAGGAATAAATGAAATATTTGTATGAAAAAGTGAGGGGGCGGTCACCCCTGGTAAACAATGCCACACTGGGGGAAGGGAGTGTGAGGTGACTCGGGGCGTGAGTATGCGTCCGGGCGAATGCTATTTGCGAGTCAAACAATGTTCGAAATCAATGTTTTTATGAAAAAAAGTTTCGATTTCAGAAAATTACGACTTTCAAGCCTTACGAATACAGGGTCCATGTAGTTTTGAGACAGAAAGAAGACGCCAGCAATCTGCATCATGTAAAACAATTATGGGGTTCCCGTTCACATATGGTAGTACCTCCCCCGGGGTTATGTTAAAAAACCTCTACCTAAGGGCAAAGTTTTTAAAATAAAAAATTTTTGCAGAGAAGGTAACGAAAGATTGGATACGGTTGGAGGGAAGAGAGTTGGAGGAAGTGGTGTATTAGATATTTAGGAGTGGCGTGTCAGCAAGGGTCCCTGAAAGATGAGGGAATCACAGAAATGACTGGGGAAAAAAAAAAAAAGGGGAGTGGTGCATGAGGAGTCTGTGGGACAAAGAACTTTGTCCATGGAAGCAAAGAGGAGAATGTATGAGAGTTTAGTTATACCAATGCTCTTATATGGGTGCAAAGCATAGGTGTGAATGTTTGCAACAAGAAGGCTGGAGGCAGTGGAGATGTCGTGTCTGAGGGCAATGTGTAGTGAAAACATAATGCAGAGAATTTGTAATTTGGAAATTGAGAGGAAGAGGAATGGGATTACCAAAACTATTATCCAGAGGGCTGAGGAGGGGTTGTTGAGGTGGTTCAGACATGTAGAGAGGATGCAACAAAATAGAATGACTTCGAGTGTATAAATCTGTAGTGGAGGGAAGGCAGGGTAGAGGTCGGCCTAGGAAAGGTTGGAGGGAGGGGGTAAAAGAGGTTTTGTGTGCAAGGGGCTTGGACTTCCAGCAACCATGCATGAGCATGTTAGTTAGGAGCAAATAGAGACAAATGGTTTTTAGGACTTGACGTGCTGTTGGAGTGTAAGCAGGGTAATATGAAGGGTTTCAGGAAACCGGCAGGCTGGACTTGAGTTCTGGAGGAGGGGTGTTAATGTTGCAGTTTTATAACTGTAGCATAAGCACACCTTTGGAAGACAGTGATGGAGTGAATGATGGTGAAAGTTTTTCTTTTTTGGGCCACCCTACTTTGGTGAGAAACGGTCGCTGTGTTAAAAAAAAAAAATTATGCAGAGAATTCATAGTGTGGCGATCAGGTGGTGTGGAGTTATGAAAGTATTATTCAGAGAGCTGAGAAGGGGTTGTTGAGGTGGTTTGGTCATTCGGAGAGGAAAGAGCAATATAGGAAGATTTGTAGTGTGTATAAATCTGTAGCAGAGGGAAGGCAGGGTAGGGGTCTTCCTAGGAATGGATGGTGTAAAGAAGGTTTTGTGTGTGAGGGGCATGGACATACAGCAGTTGTGTGTGTGTTTTAGATAGGAATGAGTGGAGATGAATGGTTTTTGTGACTTAACAAGCTGTTGGAGAATGAGAAGGGTAATATTTTATGAAGGGATCAGGGAAATAAGTTAACCGAACTTGAGTCCTGGAGGTGGAAAGTACGATGCCTACACTTCAAAGGAGGGGTTTGGGATATTTGTTGTTTAGAGTGACATCTAAACTATCATATCTGTGTGCATCTGGCAAGACAGTGAAAGTATGAATGATGATGAAAGTGCCTCTTTTTCCAGTCACCCTACCTCAGTGGGAGATGGCCAGTGTGTTAAAAAAAAAAAAAAAAAAAAAAAAGTATCTTGCTGATATCCTCATTCCTTTTACATCAGGCTTAGAAATGTTTTTTTGAACAGCAACAAACTGAGCCTCATGATGTTAGGAAAAAATCATTCGCAGATAAAGCATTTTTCTTACATAGCTCCTACATTATTCAGCAGGTTGCCAGTGTCTGTTAGGAGTCAGGAATCTGTTCAAGCTTTCAAGTCTTAGATGAAAGCACATCTCTTTTCTAGAATTTATGATCCTAATGATTATACTGACACTCTTAAATATAAACTTTAGTATTTATTCTTCATTTTTGCTGTAGCATTCATGGCTTGGTGTGTGAGCACTTATGAATTTCTTCAAAGAACAGCACTCAAGATTAACAAAATCCCAAAGTACAGTGGACCCCCGGTTTACGATATTATTTCATTCCAGAAGTATGTTCAGGTACCAGTACTGACCGAATTTGTTCCCATAAGGAATATTGTGAATTAGATTAGTCCATTTCAGACCCCCAAACACAAATACAAATGCACTTACATAAATACACTTACATAATGGGTCGCAGTGGGAGCTGATCGTAAACCGGGGGTCTACTGTATTATTATTATTATTTTTTTTTAATAAACTGGCTGTATCCCACCAAGGCAAGGTGACCCAAAAAGAAAAACAAAAGTTTCTCTTTTTAAATTAAGTAATTTGTACAGGAGAAGGGGTTACTAGCCCCTTGCTCCCGGCATTTTAGTCGCTTCTTACAACACGCATGGCTTACGGAGGAAGAATTCTGTTCCACTTCCCATGGAGAATTATTATTATTATTATTATTATTATTATTATTATTATTATTATTATTATTATTATTATTATTATTATTATTGTTGTTATTATTATTATTATTATTATTATTATTATTATTATTATTACAGTATATCTACTTACTGAACACTTTCTCCTGTATACATTACTAAAGTTAAAAGGAGAAACTTTTGTTTTTCTTTTTGGGCCACCCTGCCTCAGTGGGATATGGCCAGTTTGTTGAAAGAAAGAAGAAAGATCTACTTATTGTACCTACAATAAGTAGATCTATAGCCTACAGTAGGGCCCCACTTTATAGCATTCCACTAATACAGTGATTTCAAATTATGACCAAAATTTGCTATACGGCAAGCGGTCTTTCAAATACGGTGCGCCCCACCCGGTTTGTTTACATTCTCCATGAATACATCTATTATGTCTGGAAACTTTCCAAAATTTCAAGTGTTTCAAAGTTACTGTGTATTTTATATATACACTCTGATAATTGTGCTTATGTGTACCTGTGCCTAAATATACTTACACACTGTGCTGGCGTGCAGGTACACATTAAAATCATTAAGAGTTTCTCTACTCACGAAGCCATAATAATGCTACATAATAATAATCTCTCTAGGACACATTAAATGTCTTATTTTACGTTAATATAGATATTTTCATTAATCCATCTATGACATTTTCTTCAAAATTACATAAGAAACATGTTACATAGCATATAAATATTATACACACACCCATAGAATAAAAATTGACATAAAATGAGATTTGTTTACAAAGCAGCTTTGTAGGTATGTCAGAAGAATTACATTTTCTCGAGTCAAACACTGGGGGATAACTGTAGATAAATATTCCTTTCGTATGCCTTCACTCTATATATAGCAATTCATGACCTTGTGGGTTTAGTCTTCTTTACCACTGTGGAGATAACTTGTACACAATGTAAGGTGTTTGTATGAATGCTCATGAACCATAACCAGATGCATCGTCTGTTTGTTTACATAGTGGGTGGGATGGCTAGGCTGGCTTCCCTACACTACCCTACCTATCACACGACTTTCTACAAATAAATACTTTTCACCTTTCACCCTACATTAAGACTACAAATATTTTAAGGTAAAGTAATGAGTGTACTGTATATGCATTTTATCACTCTATGGAGCTTTAACCCTTAAACTGTCCAAACACAGATCTATGTTCACATGTGTAGTGCTCCAAAAGTAGATCTACTTTTTTTACATATTTTCAAATATAAAAAAAAAAAACGTATATCAAAGTTTTTTACACGCTTTCAAATGTAAAAAAAACAAAAATCTATGTTTTCAAATGCTGAAAAAGCGTAGATCTATGTTTGGACAGTTTAAGGGTTAAGCATCATTGTAGTATATTATGTGTGGGCAGTGTGGCCAGGAGGGCTACCACATCTAACTTCTTGAAGTAAATACTAATCACCTTTTGTCCTACATTAAGACTACGAATATTTTGAGGTAAATGAGTGTACGTATTGTGTGTATTTTACTTTTTTATTGTTTTTAATGCCTAGTTCTATTGCTAACTTAATACATATATGTTAGTGTAAACTTCTTATCTGGCATTTATATGCATTTATAAGTGGAAAAAAATGGTGTTTTGCTTTCCAGCAGTAATTTGGAACCTAACCTGCCATATAAGTGGGGCCCTACTGTATTTGCTTACCTGTACTTACATCAGTTCCAGACATTTGGTCATAAGAATTACTATAGTACAAAGGTTATAAGAAATGACTTACAGTACACAGAAAAAGAGTACTGAGGTACTAAAATGATATTCACTCTATGAAACAGACACTTGCCACTAATCATATTAACTGTCAATTAATTAGTAAAAATTTAAGATACTGGGTATTTGTGAAAATTTTCCTATACAGAGGGCATCAGTTTACATCCAATTATTGGATGTAACTTACTTGGTACTTGAAATTTGTTGCTGGATCATCAAACTGGAACTGAGAGAGAAAACCAGAGTCAGTGGACCAGAAGAGTCTGATGTCTGGAATGCTATACAGCTTCATGGCCCATCGTTCCAGCCCTAAACCAAATGCCCAGCCAATCTTGTCTTGTGCACCAGCTGAAATTCATACAATTAAGTCAGAAACACCATTAGTACCACTGGGAAAAGGTCAACTATACATATACAGAGTTATACATGCATGTCTGGCACAAAGTAAGAAATTTAAATATACTGTACAGTGCAGTTCTAAGATACTATTTGCAGTATGGGCACTTATTTTTTTAACACACCAGTAGTCTCCCACCAAAAGAAAGGCGGCCCAAGAAAAGAAATGCATTCACCCCAGTGGAAATAAGTCATTATGACTTTTTTGGATTATCCTAGGTTCTCTACACACATGCTGCTATTGTATGGTAATCTATGTACAAGTTTTGGCCATAATTCATTCCAGAAGGATGTTCGAGTGCCATTACCGAATGAATCTGTTCCCAAAAGGAATAATGTAAATTAGATTAGTCCGTTTCAGACCCACAAAATTACACTTACAAAAGCACTTACAATAATACACTTACATAATTATTCAAGTTGGGAGCTGTACGAAACTCAGCATACCACTGTAACTGCATTTGTGTATACCAGAATAAACTTACTTACTTACATCCAGTAGTTGACTTGCCAGATGTGCACACATTATTATCATTTTTTTTTTCAACAAACCGGCTGTATCCCACCAAGGCAGGGTGATCTAAAAAGAAAAACGAAAGTTCTCTTTTTAAATTAGTAATTTATACAGGGGTTACTAGCCCATTGCTCCCGGCATTCTAGCCACTTCTTATGACACGCATGGCTTACAGAGGAGGAATCCTTTTCCACCTCCCCATGGAGATTATGATTATTAGTATTATTATTTCTTTTTTTTTTTAACAAGTTGGCTGTCTCCCACTGAGGCAGGGTGACCCAAAAAGAAAGAAAATCCCCAAAAAGAAAATACTTTCATCATCATTCAACACTTTTATCTCACTCACACATAATCACTGTTTTTGCAGAGGTGCTCAGAACACAACAGTTTAGAAGCGTATACGTATAAAGATACACAACATATCCCTCTAAACTGCCAATATCCTGAACCCCTCCTTTAGAGTGCAGGCATTGTACTTCCCATTTCCAGGACTCAAGTCTGGCTATATAAAAATAACTGGTTTCCCTGAATCCCATCACTAAATATTACCCTGCTCACACTCCAACAGATCGTCAGGTCACATATACCAACTGTCTCCATTCACTATCGAACACGCTCACGCACACCTGCTGGAAGTCCAAGTCCTTCACCCACAAAACCTCCCTTACCCCTTCCTTCCAACCTTTTCGAGGATGACCCTTACCCCTCCTTCCTTCCCCTACAGATTTAAACGCTCTCCATGTCATTCTACTTTGATCCATTCTCTCTAAATGACCAAACCACCTCAACAACCCCTCTTCAGCCCTGTGACTAATACTTTTATTAACCCTTTCAGGGTCCGTCCCGTAGATCTACGGCTGGTCGGTGAGTGTCCAAACCGTAGATCTATGCCAAAATTCTAGCGCCGTCAAATTTACCGCGAAAGCGCTCATAGGCCTACATGTGAGAGAATGGGTCTGCGCCATGGGTGTGCGCCATAAACAAAAAATCTAGGCGCCTGCATAGCATTGTGGGAACGCCGGCTCAGTCACCCTTGTTCACCATGCCTCGTCGCAAGTCAGCTCTCACTCCCCGGAAAATTGGGACTCTCCTCTTCCTGTCTGATAGTTCTGACACTGATGGAAGTGGAAATGAAGACGAATTCTACGGCTTTGATAAGTTAGTGACCGAAAATAATGACCACGATATCGATAATGGTGCAGAAAACCCCGACGATCCTCGACCTTCTACCTCTGGTGTGGGCACTCGTGACTCACGGTCGGGTGTTCCTAAACGTAAGAGAAAACTAATATTCTCCCGTGGCCTGGCCTCTGACTTCAGTAATGACGATGATTCTGACGTGGATTGTGATTTTATTGCGCTCGACGATCATTCGAGTAGTGATAGTGAGGAAACATATTCACCAGCGAAGCGTCAGTATGTTCGCCGCCGCATGCGCTCGGGTAGTGTACCCTATGCTGTGCCCAGGGGACGGAGTACATCCCAGAGTACATCCCGGAGTACATCCCGGAGTACATCCCATGGCCCTACACCCGTTTTAGGTAGTGATAGTGAGGATGATGTGGCTACACTTGGCATGGATGGGCCACAGGCATCAGTGGATGGTGTTAGTGGGGCTGGTGGTGGTAGTGGCACTGCCATGCGTGACTCACTGTGCCACGCGGGGACCCACGCTGCTGACTCGTCAGTTCAAGGACAAAGCGGAGCATCACCCACCAGCCCGCCACAACCACCCGTACAACCAGCCTATGATGTCCAGTATCCACCAGCAAACCGTATCTGGGATTGGCAGCAAAATCCCAATTTTGTTCCCAAGCCTCACCACTTTGATGACTCTCAAAGTGGAATTCTACCTACCTGTCCCCTTGGAACCACGGCCAATGAACTGGAATTCTTTGAATTATTCTTTGACCAGCCATTGATGGAAATTATTGTCAGGGAAAGTAATAAGTATTTTCAATACACCATGGCAAATACGATCTTATCACCACAGTCAAGACTACACAGTGGAAAGAGACGACTGTTGCAGAAATGTATTGCTTTTTGCAACAAAATGCTTATGCCTCAGTCTATAAGCATAATATAAAAGCGTACTGGTCCACAGATCGGCTAATTTGTACCCCATCCTTCAGTGAAATAATACCAGTGAACAGGTTTATCTTACTGTTACGTATTTTGCACTTCTCTGACAAAACCAGGCCTGACAGAAGTGACAGGTTATACAAGATTAGAAATGTTTTCATGTATCTCAAACAAAAGTTCAGGATATACTTTTATCCATTCAAGAATCTTGTAATTGACGAGTCTTTGATTTTGTTCAAAGGTAGACTGTCATTCAAGCAGTATATACCGAGCAAGAGGAACCGCTTTGGTATAAAATTGTTTGTACTCTGTGATTGTGACAGTGGCCTGGTGTTGGATATTGTTGTATACACGCGAAAGTAAAACATTGAAAGATACCAAGATGTTTTTGGGGTATATCAGGTGACGTAGTGAGAAACATGATGGCACCTTATCTTGGTAAGGGCCATACATTATATACCGATAACGGGTACACAAGCCCATTACTCAGTGATTTCTTTGCGAGTGAACAAGACAGATGTGTGTGGCACAGTGCGTTCTAATCGTAAACATATGCCCAGGCTCACCGCAGGTGTTCGTGTGATGACGTGCAGGTGTTTACTGCCAATGACATCATGGAAATTATGGTGGCATGACAAACGAGATGTCACATTGTTGACAACCATTCACCGTAATGAAATGCAAGACAGTGGCAAATTTTGATCGAGTGGACTAATGAACGTATTCGAAAACCAGTGACAGTGATTGATTATACACAAAACATGCGCTTGGTTGACAAGTGTGACATGCAGATTGGTTTTGTTGACTGTGTTCGTAAGAGTTACAAGTGGTACATGAAACTTTTCTTCCATCTCATGGACATTTCAATGCTGAATGCATATAATATGTACCAAATAAAGACTGGTAACAGACCACCGTATGGTGAATTTTGTTTGTCTGTTGTCAGACAACTCATAATGAAGTACCAGGTAACAACACCTGCAATACAACATGGTCCTCGAATTCATCACAATATACCCAAGCGTTTGAGGAGAGAAGGTGATCATTTCATAATACAGCTTCCTTCAACTCAAAAGAAATTTGCTCAGAAGAGATGCATTGTCTGGCACAAACAAAACGACGGCAACAAAGACGCAAAGACACTCGGTTTATGTGTGAGGAATGTAAGGTGCCTCTGTGCATGGTGCCTTGTTTCAAGGAGTTCCACAAGCTCCAGCAGTTCTAAAACCATGTCCAGTGATTGTAAATATGTAAATATGTGATAGAACATTAGTATTATACAATATTTGTGCATGTTTATTGTAATAAACAACAGTGGTAAACAATAATATGATAATAACTTTAGTGCGGTTATTGTGTTCAATACAGTGAGTATATATATATCAATTATATACAGTATTGGTCTCTCAGGTCCCAAATGTTAGTAGGAATAGAAAAAAAATGGAAAAGAAAAGAAAAAACAACTAAAACAACAAAATAATATAATACGCGTATGTGGAATTCGTCGATGTTGCCGCCACCACATCATTTTCTACAAACTTCTTGGCACTGTATCTCGGTAAGTACTGATCAGATTCTAATTTTTTTTGTTTTATTACCTTCACAAAAATATGCTCTTTAATTCTGTAAGAAAAAATAATTTTTTTTTTTTTTTCAAAATTTCTTGGACACTGGTGCGTGACTTCAGATTTTGGCCTTGGACCCTGAAAGGGTTAACTCCACACCTTCTCCTAATTTTCAAACTCTGAATTTTCTGCATAATATTTACACCACACATTGCCCTTAAACAGGACATCTCCACTGCCTCCAACCACCTCCTCGCTGCTGCATTTACCACCCAAGCTTCACACCCATATAAGAGCGTTGGTACTACTATACTTTCATACATTCCCTTCTTTGCCTCAATAGATAATGTTTTTGTCTCCACATATACCTCAATGCACCACTCACATTTTTTCCCTCATCAATTCTATGATTAACCTCATCCTTCATAAATCCATCCACCGACACGTCAACACCCAAGCATCTGAAAACATTCACTTCTTCCATACTCCTCCTCCCCAATTTGATATCCAATTTTTTCTTTATCTAAATCATTTGATACCCTCATCACTTACTCTTTTCTATGTTCACTTTCAACTTTCTACCTTTACTCACACTCCCAAACTCGTCCACTAACCTTTGCAATTTTTCTTTAGAATCTCCCATAAGCACAGTATCATCAGCAAGAAGCAACTGTGTCAATTTCCATTTTGCATTTGATTCCCGTAATTTAATCCCACTCCACTCCACGCATTTACTTCTTTTACAACCCCATCTATAAATATATTAAACAACCATGGTGACATTACACATC